AAATATTTGTTCTTAATATGGGGAATGTGAATATTTCAGCTCTGTATGCAAGACCAAAAAGAAAAAGAAAAACATCCACATTATTTACACAACTACTTTCCTTGTACAGATTTTCTGAAGCTTGAAGGAGTCCCAACTTCCCTGAAAAAAAAATATGCTTTTGGCTCCAGCTCCAGGCTGTCATGTCTCCACTTCTGCATTTGACAAACCTGCCTTGATTTTACTCTCTGCTTTTCCATTGAAGGTGCTTCTCTTATGAGTCTCTTCTCTGACAACCGTACCAAGCAGCTTGTAGAAATACGTAGGCATTTCATACTGAGTCAATTCTGAGCTACACCACATACATTGCTCCTTTTATTTTCTATGTTCAGGCCGTGAGTGCCAATGCTTTTGTTGCCAAAACAGCATCACTCATGCTCAGGAAGAAGTTGGCAGGTATGTGGGGAACATAAAAGTACAAAAAAATAATAATACAAATGGGGGGAACCTTAAGGAGATACACACTCATACCCCGCCACCAAAAAGAGAAAAACAAATTAGCTCAATAAGGACTGAGCTTGCGCAGTGGGTTTGGTATGCTGACTGACTGTTGGGGATAAGAAATTAAGAAGGGGAAATAGAAGAGAATAGCAGGAATCCTGAACAGGAAGCACTCTACACAACCACATTTTGTTTCGGGTCTCACGTGCTGCAGTAGAGCCGCATTTTGGAGCCGAGGTTTTCAGCACACTTGATCATTTGAGGACTTGATAAGATTTCCCACATTCAAAAGTCCAATTTAAGCCCTTGCTCCACTCTGATCATCTTACCAATACTACCACAACAGAAGATTAAGCTTTCCTCTAGTCACTGATGTGAGATTTACTGTCATGGGTTGGGCAAAAGCAATTGACGTAGTAAACGGCAGCGAACAGACAATGGCAACACCATGGTCCATTAATTAAAATAATCAGTTTGAGACTACTTGAAATTGTTGGCAGAGACTTGAATGCACCTATTGTTGCGCTGCTAGATCATTATACTGACTTCCTAAGCAGCGTTCCTCTCCTGGAGGAAAATGGTACCAATTGTAGTATTTTTTATTAATACAGACTGCTTACCATCTTCTGTCTGTTTTGTGGATTGACATTTATTTTTAGCCTGGTGGAAACCACACCCGTGAAATATCACTTTCAGAATAATACTAAAACAGAAAGGTACTCTTTTTAGATGCTATTTCCGCTTCAAAAACCTGTAGTGCCAATTGGATGCTATTGGCACTCTGCTTCTCCCATGGAGGCCATGGAGGGAGAAAACTATATGGTCCAAAAGCAGCAGCTGCTGCTGTGTTTATGGCACCTTTCTTCTTCCTCAACCCTCCTCTTCCCACCCCACAAGGCCAGAATGACATCGCACAGCTTCAGGCAGACTAGAGCTTTGAAGAGGAGTACTCCCATATTGGAATCAATGTGGGTCAGGTGAATTAGTGACAGTGGATGTGCTGAGAGGCATTATTGATACTAAGACACAGGATAGAAATATGCCTTGAAATAAGTCTTGGATATAAGGATCAACAGCAAGTATTAATAAAAAGGACCTTTTAAAAAATAGGAGCACTAGTTTAAAGGGGCAACACGGCAACAGTTTCTTCCACAACTCGCTTTACAAATGGTGGGGGAAGAGGAAATTCACAACCAAAAAAGGCCTCTCTCAAAAAAAGATTTTTAAATAAAATTTGCCTCATATCTATAAATGCAAATTTAGACAGAATGTGGCATTTGCCCAATCATTATGGAGATGTACTGGGGGAGAGAGAGAAAGGATTAATAGGCTGACCAATAAGAAAACCCAGGGCCGGAGCCTAACTGTGTTTAAGGCTCTACACAGGGGTTTTGGCAGTTAGTGTGACATTTGGTAGTTAGCCGTGACCCCCGCTAATTGATCTACGGACCTCAATTAGCGATTTATTGCTGCCCGGCACGCTTCCACTCCGGCACTTCTCCGTCACGGTTCAGCAGAGCTTCGCACAGCGATGTAAAACTGTCACCAACTTGATTCAGCTTTCAGACAAACACACAGAGTCCCGTTTGTCTCTATACAGCTTTTATTTCCAACATTTCTCAGGAATTTCCAGGACTAGTTGCAGCCATCACAGCACTACGTCCTTTTCCCCACAGCTCACATAGTGGGACTGAACAGAAACCACTCCCAGGCTCCTCCCAGCTTCCACAGCTGACGTCAGAATGTTGAGGCATCCTGGGAACTTCTTAACCAGTTAAGTTCCAACCTCAACACCCCCTCTTGCTGAAACCATTCTGACATGACCTTTTGAGCTCAACACCTTTACCTTTGCCTTGTGCCACTTCCCGGCATCTTTCCAGGCACCTGTTGAACCCCTTCAACATTCCCAGAATCACACTGTGCGACACTTTTCCACGCACCTGTGACCTGATACCCTACTGACCCATTAGGGCCAGCAGTTGTGTCTTCTCCGTCAGACTCTTCCCCCTCTGACGTGACACCCCTTCCGTGAGCTTTCTCCATTACCGGGGATGAAGCCTCACACCTGGACACTCCTTTCACAACCCTTGGAGATGCCCAAACCTGCCCTGAACCCTGACCCTGGACTTGGTCCCCATCACCGGGTTTTGAACCCTGATTCTGGACCTGATCCCCGTCACCGGGCTCAGCCACAGCCTCCCTTCTCCCTTGAGAAGACTTTGCACCCGTCACCTAGTGACGTTTTTCCTTTTCCTTGAAAAACTTCTCCAGAGCAGACCCAGTAAACTGTGACCCTCGGTCGCTCTTGAACCCTTGCACCTTGGTGGAGAACCTTAGTTCTACCTCCGCAACCCAATCCTTGATCAGTTGCGCCGCCTCTCCCTGTGGTTTGAGAGAGAGACACCAGCCAACCTGGCTGTGGTCATCTGTCAGCGATGGCACATACCTGGCCCCACCCAGACTCTCACACCTCATGGGTCCTGACAGATCTGTGTGAACAAGCTTGAAAGCTTCCTTGGCTACCCTCCCAAACCCGGGAAAACCAAGTACCTTTGCACCTTTGCATGCCCTGTACCCTTGGGACCTCCCACATTTCCGGAGTTTGTACCCTTTTGTGCACCTGTGCAACTTTTGCACATCACTGGGAACCTTAGCACACTGCACCTGTGCTTTTTCCAGCATTCCCACCACCCTCCATAGGTGACTCCAGAACAAAGAAATTGTTCTTGCTCTTCGCCATGTTGACCAGTTGTCGCCCCCCTCTGAAAATGGAACAGGTGTCATTTTCAAAGCACATTTTTGAACCCCTGCTTCATTAGAGCAGATACAGATAACCGACAACTATTCAGTCCCGGCACAACGTAGACCTCTTGCTCCTCCTGTGAAGGAGAGAAAAACACACGTTAGCCACACCACAGACTGCTCCGTCTGCGAATAAAACAATTGTTCCTGTTGAAAACAGCCCTGCAGTCCCGCAGCTTGCCTATCAGGTGCTGCCTGATAGCAGAAAACAAAACACCCAGCGTGTCACCGTGTCCTGGCTGGTGTTGTTCTTCACAGTTGCCATAGAAGCAACAAACGTCCCGCTGCCCCCTCTGTCCTTGGCAGCGTCCGAAAACCGCAACATCCTGCGTTGCTCTGAAGACTGGACTTATCTCAGAGTTCCCAGACAACTCTGCAGCACGTGTCTCCCGCTGCAGCAGATGGCTGGCCTTGAAGCCTGTAGCAATGACGAACTCCAGTGGAAAAACACTGCTCCGGGGCTCCTCCCAGCTGGCCTGGCCCTCCTTCTTCCGGAAAAACACTCCTTGCCAGCTCCGCCCCTCTGCACCTCCACTTCATTCCAGCACGTACAGTGGAAAATTTTAAACGTGCCTTTGGAAATCTTCCGCCCCCCCGACCTGCTCAGCAGCACTCCTTGTGGCTAAAGCATCAGGGACAGGGGCTCCAGCCATCTTTAGGCTTTTGTGGTCCTTCTCCAGGGCTCTGGCCTCCTGCTGAAGCTTCACAGCAAACGCAGCACATTTCCAAGCAGCCCTTAGTCCCTTTGCCCCCCTCTGGGGCCCACAGCCTTTCCCAGCTGTGCACCGGCTCTCACGAAGGTGATCAGCGCCATCTTGTCTTTCTGTTCTGAAGCAGCCATCTCCCAGCTCTTGCTTCCCGCCTCCAGCCTCACAAACACCCTGGAGCGCTGAACGGCCTCTGGCTTCCTGGCACCCAGAACAGTAGACTTCAGATCAGCAGCCAGGTTGCCCAACTTCTTAAAGTGAGCCTCCCACAGTCCTCCAAGACCTGGCAGCCTGCCATCCTCTTCCGTTCTCCCAAGGGGCCCCAAGCTCACTCACCAGCTTTATCCGGCTCCCGTCCGTGGAGACACGATTCCTTGCTGCCCTCAGCTCTCAAATCCAGAGCTCCAGCTGGTCCCAGCACTCAGCAACACAGGCAGCCACTTTGTGTCTTTCAGCCAGCCGCTTTTTGGCTCCGCAGCTACTCCTTGCCTCTTAACACCAGGCAAAAACTCCTGCCGACTTCAAACGCATTCCGGCAGCCTCTTGAGTGACAGTTTTACAAGCGGTGATTAGTACCCATAACCTGTGACATTTGGTAGTTAGCCGTGACCCCCGCTAATTGATCTACGGACCTCAATTAGCGATTTATTGCTGCCCGGCACGCTTCCACTCCGGCACTTCTCCGTCACGGTTCAGCAGAGCTTCGCACAGCGATGTAAAACTGTCACCAACTTGATTCAGCTTTCAGACAAACACACAGAGTCCCGTTTGTCTCTATACAGCTTTTATTTCCAACATTTCTCAGGAATTTCCAGGACTAGTTGCAGCCATCACAGCACTACGTCCTTTTCCCCACAGCTCACATAGTGGGACTGAACAGAAACCACTCCCAGGCTCCTCCCAGCTTCCACAGCTGACGTCAGAATGTTGAGGCATCCTGGGAACTTCTTAACCAGTTAAGTTCCAACCTCAACAGTTCGGTTGGTTTCTTGTGGGAGGGGGGCTTAGGAGTCAGAGTGAATTAGAGACAGAGGGGAGAGAGAGAGAGTGAATCAGCTTACAGTGTTTCAAAGTATTTAAAACTTGTTTGCGTTCACAATATACTGGAATCTTTGTTAATGCGTTACAACCTGACTAAGTCTGAATATATTACTGGGGAAACCTGGTTGGTGGCAGTGGAACGGATAAGCTGTGGTGGTGAAGGGCCAATAGTCCGTGGAACGACCAGCGGCTTTGTGAGAACGCCACACAGAATTATTATAATTTAAACAGAAATACGTCTCCTTATACTGAATAAGACCATGACTAGGTATCAGGGATGGGACTGAGGAGGAATGGTGAGGACTGCCCCCCATCTCCTGCACTTCCCAGAGAAGAGGGAGTCAGTATAGATTTACAACAATGGTTTGCAGAAGGTCATAGTTCAAAGGCTGCAGAGGGGAGAAGCTGGGAAATATTGGGAGAGGAGCAGGAGGAAGAAGAAGAAGAACCAGGGGAAAGACAACTGAAAGACTCGGTGTCTTTAGAAAGCATTCCAGATTCCCACCCCACACCCGTCCCAGGACCCAGCGGTAACCCTGCCGAACTGTATTTTTATCAGTGAGAATTAATAGGAAACAAATGGCCAACGACCGATAAAATTAGGCTATTCTGCTTCTGAGGAAAAGGAAAAAAGGATTACAAACTAATCGGGCAGCCAAGGAGGTGGTTCCCTGAAGTAACATGCTGATGATCATAAGCTTGGAGGCAAAGCAGGGATGGAACAAAAATTCAAACAGGTTGTGTTTTGAAATCACAATGCAATGTAATGCTGCAGGATAAGCAGCAACTGTGAAATAAACACACACACACACACACACACACACACACACACACACACCAGTAAGGTTCCCACTTCTTCCAATGTTTTCCACACCAAAGGCTGAACAGTACCACCAAGGATATGGAGTTAAGGAAGGTTCTTACAAGCAGCCCTGTAAGAACCATGTAAATGATCACTCTATTAAATACATATCTCTGTTTTATCCTTCTTTAAAGACTCCAAGTCAGCTGACAAGAGACTATTATATATACACGGAAGCAGAGCAGACAGTGAAATAAGTAGCAGCAAGGTTTGTCATGGTATTTGGAGACCTCAGAGAGGGGAAGGGAGGGAAGGAATGTTCATCTTATTCAGACATAGGCAAACTCGGCCCTCCAGATGTTTTGGGACTACAACTCCCTTCATCCCTGACCACTGGTCGTGTTAGCTAGGGATGATGGGAGTTGTAGTCCCAAAACATCTGGAGGGCCGAGTTTGCCTATGCCTGATCTTATTTACCTGGAGGGCCGAGTTTGCCTATGCCTGATCTTATTTATAGTAAATAATATCCTTATTGTAAAGGTGCTCCTTAAGTGTAGGAAGAACACAGCACTGTGGATCCAAGCAGCAGTTTTCCAGCTGTTTTATCCACAGAGTGTTTGTCTTAATGGTACTTAACAGTTACAGAGCACTTCACATTTTATTGCATACTAAACATTAATTAATTCTCATGGCACTTGTGTGCAACAAGCAATTACTATTGTGGTTCCACAATCATTAATCAAAGATTGTCGCAACGGTCTTATATATGCATAACCTGATGAATTTCCCATGGCACGGTGCAAACATGTTTACTCAAAAGTAAGTCCTATTTATTTCAATATGATTTACTTCCAAATAGGACTGCGATCTTTGGTTAGCACACCATAGTGTTGTGGCTGAAAAACAGTAGCTGGCAAGAATATCTGGGTCAACCCATTAAGTTCCATCCATTTGTCCCTCATCCAGCAGGGCTATGGGAACCTGCGGACAATTATCACTATCATCAGATCTCTTTTAGCATTTCCTTGACCCTTGGCAAAAAGATTGACCAATGACAATTTTGCAGATAATGTACAGCAGATGCAAATAGTGAAGGAAGAGGTAAATCATTCCCTTGCTGTTCCTTCATAGTTCCAATTTTACACATTGATTACCTCTGCACACTCACTTTAAACCAAGTCATTCACCATGTTTTTGAAGAAGCCTCCCCTTTGCTGCCTAAAATGTGAATTTCTACCCCCAAATAGCTCAGAAGAATGAAGAATGGAAAGTAACCTGCTCACCCACCCATCTGGTCTACTCTAACTTGTGTAAAATGGACCAGGTTTTCTTACTGTCCCACCAGTGCTTTGCCAATTGCACTGACTCCCATTCTGTTTCCAGGTTTGAATCACAGCACTGATTTTGACCTTCTGAGGTGGCTTTGGACCAGAACATGTGAAAGATCACTTGTCCATACCCTCCAACATGCCCCAGAGCAAAACCGGGACGTGTGACTTTCGGGGCCGTGATGTCAAGGCAGCCAGGTAACTTGTGTGAGAGCATGGCAAAAATGGGATGTCTTGCTTAAATTGGGACAGTTGAAGGGTATGCTTGTCTCCACATGTGCTTGTCTATACATTAAAATCCCCACCAGAGACCCTCATTCAGGTTCATCCACCATCTGTGGTACTGTGCCCAGCTACCAGGTAAAGGGGTCTTCTCAGTGAAGGCAATGGGAACAGAGTGCTATACTAAATGCCAGGGGGAACCACAGATGTAACTGTTTCTAGCATGTTTCACAAGAGCAATGTCTCAGCACTTCTAAAGGACTCTTGCACAGAAGGGCCGAAGATGGCCTGTTACGACATTTCAATCTAATGAGATATTTCACAACCTAAATTGCAGCCACAATGACACATGCTTAAAAAGAGCGCTCTCCCTTTGATGCCCTGATGTTTCGGAGCCTTAGTAGTTTCCACATCTGCTTGTGTGTGTTTTTAGAAAAGAGCTGAATGGAAAAACTCATTGTGAACAAGCAACTGTAGAGGGAAAGGCGGCCTGGCGATTAAGCACACAATGCAAGTGCATTAGGTCCACTGCCAAGAGAAGCTTTGAGGTCTCACCAACAAGAACAGCCTGTCCTGGGAATAGCTCCGTTTTCCTTCACTTTCTCCTAATCCCTGACCCATGAAGCTTCTCCCCTGCAACGCAGAAGCAGCAGGGGAGGCAAGGCAAGGATGGCCGTAAAGAATTAGCAGGGCAGGGGCATTTTAGGAGTGGCTGTAAAGACTGCTAAACAGGAATGAGAACTGGAGGGGAGTGGATCGGCGATTTCTCCCCAAGCAAGATCCATAATTCATAACCTATATGGATCAGCCTATTTCTGGTCTGCGCTACATTTGTATGTGTTCATCTGTCAAGTGTGGACCTGAGCTAAGGACTACTTTGGCAGCTGCCCTGCAGCTTGAGAATCTGTCCTACTTATCATTTCTTGGCGAACACACTATTTACAAGTTCATCAGACAAAATAAGCCCTCGTGCAAGGGCTTTATTGTTTCATTTTAAGGAGAGGATTTGCTGGGGACATCCTATTTGACATGACCAAGCTTCCAGGTAAACCACCTCCCCAATATTCCTTCATGCCCTCCACTAAAACAGAGCACCTGGGTTCTGCTTTGCTTTCCACATAGTGCAGTCACTTCTGCAAAACATCTTCATACCATTAGATAACCACAACAGGATTGTGAAGCACTGCATATTCTCCTGTCTTTCCACCAGGACACACTAATGTGCTATGAGTGAGCTGCGGGTGTATGCCAAGGCAAATTAAGTGGATGGGAACATAGGAAGCTGGCTTAAAGCAAGTTAGACTGTTGGAGCATCTAGGGCTGTCTACTCTCACTGGCAGTGGCTGTGCAAGCTCTCTAGAAGAGGCCCCTCCCATTACCTGCTCTATCCCAATTTTAATGGGTGATGCCAGGAATTGAACCCAGTATCTTCTGCATGCCTGAGTTGTGCTTCATCCAAAAAAACTGAACCCCCCCCCATCCTAAGTACCCATTAATCCCCAAGTCCTCAGCCACCAAGGTTGCTGCCTTATTGTGTCTGCGTGATTCATCGTTTTCACCTTCCAGTCCCCCGTTGTTGGATGTTGCCAACTCTGCTAGGTCTCTGCAGTGGATGTGGGTGGATCACTCCATCACTCCCAGTGCAGAGAGACAGCATAATTAGCCGCAGTTAGGAGACTCTACCTGTTGCTTCTTTGGATGAGTCACAAGGAGAACAATGCTTCAGGCAGAAACAGAGGAGGTTAGTTTCCTCCAAGGTTTGATTGTTCTGCTGCGGGTCTTTAGGGCAATGTGTATGTTGTGGAGTTTCAGCGGAGGGAGCTGCTTTGATTCAAAGGAGCAACCATTTTCTTGGTTTTATTTCAGCCACGGACATCGGCGACCTCAAAACTAGATTACTGTAATGTGCTGTATGTGGGGCTGCCCTTGTATCTGGTCTGCAAGCAGCTAATGCAGAATACAGTGGGTCAACTGCTCAGAGAAGCAGGTTACTAGCAGCATGTTACTCTGCTTAGATGCCAACTGCTTAGAGAGCTCCGCCGGTTACCAATTTGCTACTGCCCCAGGTTCCAGGTTCTTGTATTAATCCGCAATGCCCTAAACAATTTGGGCTCTAAGTACTTCAATGGTTTTTGATGAAGAACTTTGGGCAGTCCCACAAGCCCCTGAAGTTTGGCCTGCCTTTACCAGGGACCAAACCTTTAGTGTGGCAGGCCCTGCCCTGTGGAACTCCTTGCCAACAGAGATTGGGCAGGTGTAAACCCTGCTCCATTTCAGATGTCTCTTAAAAACTGTATTCTTCAGATAGTCCTTTCAGACCTGAGATCCTTTGCCAATCAGTTTTTACTGGCATGTTTGATGCTCTTAATGTAACATTGTGTTTTGAGGTTGTATACTGCCCTGCTATATTTTATATGAAAGTGCAATTTATAAATATTTAAATAAATCAATACATTTTCCAACCCGATAATGAGCTCTGCTTTGCTTGCGAAAGCTAATAAAAGCCACAACCATCAATGTGGAAGAGGCTGAATGCATTCCAGAGCCCCAATATCTATTGCACCCATTGGTGTGCTTAGAATACCAGAATTCCTGTTCCAGTTAACCCCAAAAAAGCATGCATGGATCCAGTAAATTAGAACCTTACAAATATGTGCAGCAAAAATGTTTCCTTCTCAGAAAAGTTTCCATGAAGCAAAAAGCAGTTAAAAATAGCTAGCAAGAATAGCATCTGCATCAACATTAGGGTATAAATAACAAAGTCCATCACGTTCTCATGCATTAACGAATAATCTAATCAGCTGAAAAACTCAGAAATAAGGTTCTCCCCCTTGCCCAGTATTTATGATGTTGAGGGTCATGACTCTTTATGGATAGACCTTTTGAGCTAAGTCACACATCTAATGTGGAACCGGTGCTGAGACAAAGCTCCATTGGTCAATGCTGGCAGACATCCAACTAGACCAAAGATTAAGTTACCAATCATTCCATAGTTATGGAACAAAATAGACAATAACTGCAAGGATGTTCTGCACATTTGCGGTGGTGGGGGGTTTATTTCATGACTGACTGAAAGCATTAAAAATTATGAATAGAATAAAAATGGATATTATACCTGCAGAACAAAAGATACTGGGAGTAAAATTACTGGGTGCACAAGCATTAATTGCTGGCTATTTTCAAAGAGTCTTCAAAATTGTCTCTGAATTCCACATAAACCACCCCCCCAATAGTACAGTTTTTCTACTTCTTCAGCCTTCCATAAGACAGCTTTTGATGTGGTCATCAATCTTTTTAGCTTGATCGGATTTCAGAATAATTAGGAATGTTGCACAACTGTGAAAAGCCCTCCAATGAAGACAGCAAGAGGCAGGGTTACCAAACCTTTCAGATCACAGGAAGGAACCTTTGTTTCCAGCATTTAAAATGTCCACAACTGAAACAACAATCACTTTGGGTCTTGGGAGACTTTGGACCAAGTCTCTGCTTAACCAGGGAGCCACTTGGCTGTGCAAAAGGTCTTTCCAGAATTGGTAATATTCACATTTGCCTCCCACTCTTCAAAAGGGTTTGACAGGTCTTGGTTCTGACTGAGACTGTAGCCCTCTAGTTGACATCATGCAGGGTAGGAAAGTAGGGGTGTGGTTTGCTCATCCCAACTCCACCATTGGGCCTTGTGCTGGCCCTTCCCCAACATTATTCGTGGATCTTGGAGCATGTCGGCAATAAGGCAGCCTGCCATAAGGACACAGGCTGTCTCTGGGAACTGAAACCCTCGGGTATTTCGTAGGCTGCCCTGCTGCAGATGTCCAAATGCATGGACAGAAATGGACTGGGGTGTGCACAGAATGAACATCTGCAGCCAATGCCTCTGGGCCATGATGATAATTGCATGTTCTGAATGCCCAAAGGGAGCATGCAGAATTGGCTGTGTATGTTGCTCTTCACACCAAAATGCTGGCATTTCATTTAAAACATCCCACACAATACTCTGACCTCTCAGTTTTAGTAACCATCTGAAAAAAGGGAGGATCTTCCTGTAAGGCTTTTTTCTTTTTTTCTGCAAAGTATGATTTGATCACAAACATTTCTAATGTTTATATTCTATATTTTCATGTTCAATCCAAGCATATTTGGATATACAAATACAAGTATGAAGGTTAGGCAGATGGTATAGTACATGTACGCTATACAGAGCAATTGACTATTTGAAAGATACTTCCATTCATTTAAATGGTTTCAAGCGTAATACATTCTATAAATAACTTTTCAGATCTCAGATGTTTGATTTGAACACAACTTGACCTTTAGGGCTCAGATTTAAATGCCAAGGGTTATGAACACACTATGATTCAACTATTGACTGCTGTCTAGAGCTTTACTGCTGACAGATGTGCCTTTTAAAAAAACAAAACAAAACAGTAGGCTGGAATGAATGGAATGTTTCTGTACAATTCTCAATTGCAAAAAGAAAGAACATTTTCACTGAAATAGAAAGTGGACACATCCTTTTAAAGGTTGCTGATAGAACTAATTAGCTTGTGTCTCTAGCCAAAAAAGAAAAAGGATGTTTTAATCCTCCTGTCCATTTAATTTTGACCTTCTCATCAAGCAGTCAGATATACGCACAACGTAAGCTTTAGTATGATTTCCACCGAGAAAATCAACCATATCATTAATTTAAGAAAAATCCCCCTTCCTCAGTCTAAAAATAAAACTCCCTTGAGAAGCTCAATTGATACTCCAAACTTCTCTTATCCCTGAAAGTCTGTATCTCTTGCTGACGTCAATAGGAGCTCTGCACACGTAGTGAGATTGGCATATCAGAGACGAGATCTGCCATGTGGATCCAAGGGGGGAATTTGCTCTAGGAATTTACAAGCCTCTGGAAGGTTAGCTGATTTAGCTATCTCCTGATTAATTCAGAAAGAAATATTACACAAACATGACTGCTGGCTCTTGCCTATCTGAGGTGTGCAGCAATGTCCTGCTATTAAAGATTTCCATTTATTTTGTAAGAGAAAGCACCTCTTTAAGAACTTATTAAATCTTTGTTCACGTACCTGATCCACAACACCACTGAGATTTATTTTTTAAAAAAACACCTAACATCAGAACGCTATTACTGGGTCTGGCCAATTTGGCCCTGACACAGTCTCCTTCTGGAACCTTGAAAAGCTTTCCACACTATCAGATGAAGACAGACAATAGTGTGGTCCCACTCACCCAGAGTCAAAGCTTGTATGATAAAAAACATTATTTCCAATGGAAAAAAGAACCATTCTTGCTGATAGGGTACTCGTTTCTTTTGACCGAGAATGCAGGTTATGACCTACAAATCTACCATCTCATTTTGCTTAACCTGGCACACATTCTAGCATTATTTTCAAAGTATAGGTAAAGTTAAAGGGACCCCTGACCATTAAGTCCAGTCGCGGACGACTCTGGGGTTGTGGCACTCATCTCGCTGTACTGGCTGAGGGAGCCGGCTTTTGTCTGCAGACAGTTTTTCCAGGTCATGTGGCCAGCATGACTAAGCCACTTCTGGCGAACCAGAGCAGCGCACGGAAACGCCGTTTACCTTCCCGCCGGAGAAGTACCTATTTATCTACTTGCACTTGACG